ATGCTAGTGGGAAAAGCAAGCAAACCCTTGAGCTGACCTCAGAAAAGCTAATCGGAGGCAGTGTTAGCATACCTGGAGTCTTGTCAAGAAAATGCATTTAGAAGTGTGGACCAGAGCTGCATTGACTGATAAAAACCACTCAAACTTTTTAAGTTTGTTCCACACAAGATGTATGCTTATATGAGCCATGCCTCACCAAAAAGAGCTCTCAGAGGATCTACCAGCAAGAATAGTTGATTTACATAAAGCTGGAAAGGGTTACAAAGTGATTTCAAAGACCTTAGAAATTCACCAGCCTACAGCGAGGCAAATGATCTACAAACGGAGACACTTTGGGACTCTGGCTGCTCTACCAAGAAGTGAGTGCCCAGACAAAATGACCCCAAGAGCACAACAAAGACTCATCAATGAGGTAAAGAAAACGCCAAGTGACAGCCAGAGGGTTAAAGGCATCATTGGAACTGGCTCACATCCGTGTTCAGGAGTCTACAGTAGGTAAAACACTGAACAAGCAGGGTGTCTAGGGAAGGACACCACAAAGGAAGCCACTGCTTACTCTAAAGAACACGACTGCTCGCCTGAAGTTTGCAGAAGAGCACTCTGACACTGCACAGGGGCACTGGCAAAACGTTTTGTGGGCTGCTGAAACAAAGATTGAGCTATTTGGAAAGAATGCGCAGCACTGCATCTGGCGTAAAATGGGCACCGCATATCACCATGAAAACACCATCCCAGCCACAAAGTACGGTGGAGGAAACATCATGATTTAGGCCTGCTTTGCTGCATCAGGGCCTGGCCAGCTTGCAGTCACTGAGGGGAAGATCAATTCCCAAGTGTATCAAAAATGCTCCAGGATAATGTGAGAATGTCTGTGCGTCAGCTGAAACTCTGTAGACGTTGGGCGATGCAACAGGATAATGACCCAAAACACCCAAGCAAGTCCACAACAGAATGGCTTGAGAAAAACAAAATCCATGTTTTGGAGTGGTCAGGACAGAGCTCAGACACCAAGCCCCCAGAGGTGCTCTGGGATGACTTGAAGAGAGGCACACATGAGACATCCAAAGACTATGACAGAGCTAAGGCAGTTCTGCCAGGAAGAACGGGCTAAAATCCCTCCTGCAGGACGTGCAGCTCCGATCCACAGCTACAGGAATTGCCTGGGTTAGGTCACTGCTGCCAGGGTGGCCATCCCGTTACTGATTCCCAGGGTTCACTTTTTTCACTAGCATTTAGAACGTTGAATGAGTGTGTTCAATAAAGACATGGAGGATCAGAACTGGTTTGTGTTGTTTTAGGCACATTAAATTTGTCAGTGCTCTTGACTTGGATGATGGTTAGATCACATTTTACGACAAATGAATGCAGAACACCATGAAATTCCAAAAGGTTCACATACTTTTTCTTGTAACTGTAAGCCTTAGTACACACCTACACGTCATAACACAGTAAAGTGACTTTACAGGTATGCTGTATCAATAAAAGCTAAACATAATAGAGTTGATGACTATCAAGAGGTGGTACTTAGACATGCTTAGAAACACAGTATTCCCCTGAAACTCTGACATCCTTCTGCTAGATTCGAGTTTGGCTGCCTCTCCATACCACTCCACAGCGATGCAGAGGGGACCCTTAGGACAAAAGGAAAAAGGAAAACATCCGAGTAGCCACCTGCTTTGAACAACTGGTACCATGTGTCAGGCATTCACTTGCCAGGGGAGTGGCAATATTTATCAGCTTTTCTGCAGTGCCTAGTCCTGAGGCAATCAAGGCTCAAGAGTTAATGATTTCCCCTGTGAAAATTCCGGTGCGCCAAGCGGCAGGGCTGGGCTCTGTCCTTGAGCAACACTTGCAACTTGTTATTCATCCAGCCCTGCAATACCAAGCATGGAAGCCCTCAGGTGAGACTTGGAGCACAAGGTCAGTATTTCACTTAAGGTTCATTTTCCTTCTTCCTGCAGGGCTGGTCCCTCTAGTGAGCTCTGAAGGCTTGTATCTTACTACTGCATCAGGCTGTAACCCCAGCCAGCTGCTGGCAAGAGCCCAAGCAGCTGGCACTCGCTGCACAGCCCATTAACCCTCATCACTCCAAAGCAATGCCAGCAGAACACCAGATTTCACACCCATTTCCACAACATCCTTTGTTTCTTACCCATGGCTACATCACCTGACCAAGGGACACAAAGAACACACCCAGGCTGTGGGATTCCCTGATTTTAACACCATGCTGTGGCCAACAGTGTCTGTTGACCATTTATTTTCCCCTTCCAAGCACAGGGCTTTGCTTCTGAAGTGCTTAAGACAGATGTTTCTTTACACTTTGTAAACAAGGCACTTGTAAAGAAGTGACCACTCACTTGAAAGCGAGAACCCCAAAAGTGATTTGGGTCACTAACAAACACGTTCTGTTCCAGAGCCTGATCGCACCCATTCAGAGTGAAATCTGGAAGAGCAATTAGTTTTACCTAGATTTGAATCTCAAGTGCCCAAAGCGCTTCAAACTGCAGTTACAGGGTGCAAAGCACGTGACTTTGCTGCTTAAAGAGGAGGATACTCCTGCTTCTGCAAGCACACTGTATTCGGAGCTGGGTCACAGGTGCTCAGCATCAGTGAATCCTGTGGGCCAGAAGACTGCTCTCAAAGAACGCTTTCACATGACTGATGAAGCTGAAATACTCTTCTAGTCCTTTTGCCCCCAAAGAGGCGTATGGAGAAATCTCCAGCTATAACTGAGAGTGTCTGAATTTGAAAAGCTTATTGTGACTTGCTACTCCAAAATAAAAAACCAGGAAAGCTGCAGTTCCCTCTAGCCCTTTATATTGGCTTCAACTCCAGTGAGGAACAAGGGCTGTACAGACAGACGGAGGCTCTTTCATCAGTTAGGGCATACATCCTGGAATCAAAATAAAAACCTAATATATACACCACAGCTGGGGTAGGAAAGCATCTGCCCCTCAGAGCTATTTGAGGGGGGCTCCAAATTCCACTCTTCCCATCATCACTTTACCAGTCACTCACTTTCCATCTCCTCAGTCTATACCCACGACTGACACCAACCAAACCTTCTGCAGGTTTTCCAGCTGGTACTATCCAAGTGCAGAAAGGGACCCAATCACAGGATGCACCAGTAACAAGGAAACTCCTCCACAGAACCTGGCTCAAGTGCCTGGTCAATTATTCAAGACAATCTCCCAAGTAGTTCATTTACGACCCGTACAAAGAGGTAAAACTCCAGAAGAAAATGCTGAATGCATATCTGGGGCTTGAAATGACAATAACTGATGAATTGCAATCAGCTCATTGCAATTCAAAAATCTTACCTCATTCATGCATTGTAAAGGACTTTCTGCATACAGTCACATTCAGACCCTGGAAAAGACCCAGGAAAAGACCCTGGAAAAGGCCTGTGATACCTATTTAAATATGTTTCCAGGTCTGTAACGTCTTACAGCGCAACTGAGAGCAAGAACAATGGCAGCACTCAGCTGGGACAAAAAGAGTAAGCTCATCCAAAGCTGTCAGTAAGTTTTAATCAAATACCTCACTTTTTGCCGTGCTTTAAATTTACAATAACTACAACTCCTACTCACTAGTTGTCAGATATTGTAAGCTCAAGGCTATGAGAAAGAATGAGGAGAACACTGCCACTTGGTGGAAAAGGGGGATAGGAAACATTTGCAACTGCTTCGACTAAAACTACTTTTACAACAATGTTCCATCTCCCCCCTCCCGAGTGAATTTCTTAACAGCATGGCTAGTGCAACTCCATCAGTGCCCCGCAGAACGCGTACAGCGGCACCTCAGTGCTGTCACCAGTGCAGTACTGGGCTGCCTGGCAGCAAAGGTGTGCTTCCACCTCTCCCCCAAATGCCAGCTGGCTGTTGAGGCAGAATTAAAAAAAAATAACCAAACCAACCAACCAACCAACCAAACAAACATGCCCAAACAACAGAAGACCAGGAGGCTATCACCTTTTTCACTCGGCACCTCAGTGCTGTCACCAGTGCAGTACTGGGCTGCCTGGCAGCAAAGGTGTGCTTCCACCTCTCCCCCAAATGCCAGCTGGCTGTTGAGGCAGAATTAAAAAAAAATAACCAAACCAAACAAACAAACAAACATGCCCAAACAACAAAAGACCAGGAGGCTATCACTTTTTTCACTTATATATGAAGACGTCTATTAAGGATGGCGCAGAACTCTGAAACTGCTGAAGTTCAGATTTGCCTCCTTGCTCATTCTTCAAACCCTTGAGGAAGCCACTGGATAAAACAAAGGCCCTTGCAATTGTCAGTCCCTTCGTGTCCCACAAGCCCACTTCTATTGCATGGGGGATTGAACTAGCATGGAAATCTGAGCATAATTCTCTACAAAGTTTCAAAGTTTCAGGCTTTTAGCCTGATGTATGCCCTCTGTACTGCTAAACTGTTCAGCAGAAACAAGACGTAATTCCAAGATAAAGACAACTTCAACTATTTATGATAGTTACCATCTGGGGATCTTATTTCACTTCATTAATTTCAAATACTACCTTTATAAGACAGCTGCATTCAGGACAGCGAGCTGGAGACAGCTGAATTGATTTTGGCATGTTTCATTACCTCTAGGAACACGAGATTATTTATTCATTAAGTTGTTCTAAACAAAGAAGGTATTCCAGCTAACACTGCTCATAAGAACTCTGCACTGAACGCTACATCTCCCAGATCACTGCACAACAGGAGAGATGCTGCCAGAAAACCTACCTGAGATCTACCGCACACGATGACTAAGTTCACAAATGCAGATCTTGACTGTGACTCAGGCTGAAGCCCAGCTGGATAACTACCTCTGGCAGAAGCCAGAACTAAATTAAAAAACAAAAACACCGCCTTACAGCTACAAAAAGGGAAGTATGAAACTAGCTACAGGAAGATCACAAATGAACACCAAGCCATGCTGTTAAGACTTATTCCTCTTGTACTCAACTTCCCCTCCCACCACACCACCACACTTCCAAATACCTTCAGGTCACCAGCCTCAGGTTTTTCAGTCTCTGAATCGTCATCTTCCTACAAGACAAGAATTTACAGGATTAAGCTTAAAGAGCAGGCTTGACAAGTAACTGCACTTACAGCAAAGGGCTCGCGTTCAGCAGCCCAGCAGTAGTTCAAGACCCTTTCCACGGAAGTTACGTTTTACCCCACCCACTCATGACCAGAAAACAAGCCCTACAGTCAGGGAAAGAAGTGTGTTTGGGTTATTGGGTTGGGGGTTTTTAGGCAAAAGCATCACTCAGTAGCAGACGTCCCCCGCAAAACTCATGCAGCTCCTGAACGCTCAGAACTAGACAGTAAAAAGCATTTGTCATTTGACAATTCCATCTCTTCCAGTTGGCAGGGGGGCTTTTTGCATTTGCCCCCACTTAGTGGTACTCACAGGAAAAGCAGCATTCACAAGACCTATCACACTCCCACACACACGTCAGCAACACAGAGGGGACACGCAGCAGCTGGCCTGCCAAGCCCCCGAACGCGCAGGCTTGGAGAGGGTCAGGCCTAGCACCAAGCTCCAGAGATCAGGTGACTCCAGCTGACACCACATCTTTCCTAGTCGTGTAGCGCTCTCCCAGCCTCATCTGCCGGCAACATGCGCTGGCACAGAAGGGCCCCACTGACAAATTTCACGGGTGTAGTTAAAAGGCTCCATTCCAGTTTTATTTCTGCCCAGAAATAAACGAAATAACTGGGTAAACTTCTGTCCTGTGAGACCTTATAATACTGAATTCAGCCTCATGTAGGATTCTACAGCATGTCAGAAGTAGGCTCCAGCTTTGGCCCTAACTGGTGGGCAAGGCAGCAAGTTCTGCTGCCCTCTGAGCTACTTCACTGAGGATCCTAGAGCTACCCATGTTTCTAGACTTAAATACATACTCTGGGTTCAAAAACAGCTTGAGGAGCAGAAAATGTTTTTCATGTTCACACAACTCAGAACTTTGCCACAAATTTCAACTCTGGCCCCAAAACAAGAACTTGGTGTTTCAGCTTGAAAAGGAAAAAGAAGCGAGATGATTAGATGCAACTGAAAGGAAGAATTTACAATGAAATGCCCAGCTCGAGAGTATCAGCACACGAGCAAGTTCTGGCAAGGCAAGCTAGAGAATGATGACACAATAATGCCAGTAAGCTTTAATTGCCTGAATATTGATGTCCATATCCCACTGAAGTGAAACACCAAATTCCTTCACTTCAGCTACTACTATCCAGCTTACCTTTCTGAAATACGCGCATATGCCAATAATTCACTCTTAACTCTCAAATTTCAATAACAGTAAGTTTGTAACTAGAAGAAGAACCACAGTTCCAAGTAACTTGTTTACCACAAATGAGATCTATCCCCTCCACTGCCCCACTTGTGTGTTTTAAAGGTGATTTTCAACAAAGCAGCAATGGGTTGAATCATTCATGTTACAGGCAGATTACTGAAACAGCTCCCAAAACTCCCTAACCTAGAAGGAACATCTCTGAAATAACAGCAACAAAGCAAGCAGCGCTCCTGACAAGGGCCTTTGAAAAGACAGAGGCTTTTCAGTTGCTATTAAGGCCCATGATATAAGCACGGAGTTTCCCAGGACAATATTGAAGTAGCCTTTGATTCTGGTCAAAGAATATTTAATGCAAAAAAACAACCCCTGCTCTCCTGCACCGAGACTGGAGAGGAGACACCCGGTGTGACCCGAGCGCGTCTGTACAGCACCGGCAAATCCGTGAGGCCCACCGGCCAATGCCAGAGTGACCCCATCAACTGCCATCGCTTGACGGCAAGTTGTCCCCACCAGACGATGGACATCTGCACTGAAACCTGTGCAGGTAATAAAGGCTCCTCCGTTTACCTGCCTGCTTGTCAAGGCAAATGAAGGACAACTGGCCTTGACAAGCGCCTGGATCACACCTATTACTTCCTTCAAACAAAAGAGACCTCACTGAAGGAGGGTCTAGAAATTCAGGATATAAAAAGAGGAATCACTAAAGAAGCTTCATTACTTTCCTTAGGCAGAGGCCAGGAGCAGACCCTGAATACTATTGTTTGCCCTTTCTCCAGTCAGCAACAGAACAAAAGCAAGAACAAGGGACAGACACGTTCCCTGTCTGCTGCTCTGGAAAACATACGGCAGAAAAAACGACCGTCTCCTAAGAGACTGATGGAACACACACCAAGCAGACTTCAGTTAGAGTAACCCAGCCCTATTTCTTCTCTCTGCTGAAAAGCCAAAACGCTAAAGCAGGGGCAAGAGAAGATTGGAGGTAAGCAAAAGGTTAAGGAGAAAGCAAGGAAACAAGAACTTTCCTCCCAGCCTCCCCAAACTCATCATTTTGCTCTTATAGACACGACAGAACTAGATATCCTTTTGTTTATTACAGCTGCACTCAGAAGCAGTAAGCTACATGGCCTGTCTCACACCATCCCAATACCTCGATATCTATACACATGCCATGCAACTAGGACAAACAAAAGCCACTCACGTCTGGACAGGACACTGCTACATCAAGATAACCTGATGCAGTGAGTAGACTTAGTTACACAAAAAAAAGAATAAGGCATCACAAAGTTTTATTCTTTTTAATCTTCTCATTGAACATGCAACAGCATGTTCGCTTTACAAGGTTCACATATGTGTCAATAATTTTCATTTAGTGTGGCTGCTGACTTATATCACTATCTTTCCCAACAAATGGGTGAAACTGCATCAACACCGTTACTAACAAACAACAAACACAGCTCCAAGCTGCTCAGGGGTTTCAAGGCGAACGCTTCTACTTTAAACCAAAGTGACTAGAAGTATTTGGAGAGTGCTGAACCCCCCACCAGGAGTCAGATATTCAGGGTTCCAGCTCGGTTTGCCAGGCAGGGACTTTCCTTGGAGAGAGAGAAGTCTCTACAACCCAGCGAAGGGCTCGGGGCGAGCTCTCGGGGCAGGGAGGTACTTACGGACTGCCTGCTGTTCTCCTCATCCTCTTCTTCGTACCCGTCCTCGTCCCCATCCAGGCGGGTGAAGTC